TCCCCCCCCCCCCCCCAAAAACACACACACACACACACCAGATGTACACAAAAAGGCTCAGGAATTCTGACCTTGAAGACGTCCCAGAAGAGCCCCGCTACCAAAACCTCCAATTAAAGAGTTCAGAAAATCATCGGGTTTTCCAGTTCTGCTCACCCTTACAAATTCACGTGCACCTATCAGACAGAGAGGTTAATACTATAAAAACAAAAATTTCCAGGTTTCTTTACTTTTCCCTTCGTTGGTCTGCCAATTTGAAATTAGTCTATATTAATATGTTAAGTAGTGAAAAAAACAAATTCTTGCTTGATGAATCATAGATTCACTGGAGAAAACAAGACAGACATAAAATTTGTTGAAGATCTGAGTTCAAACGTGCTTCACATTATCATCTTACCACTATAACAGCAGTTTAAGAGAAATTTAAGTTAGAGAGCTAATCTATAGCAATTGTACATGCCATCTAACACCTCAATGTTAGATTGGAGTCAATAATCAGAACTTATATAACAATGGGGGGAACTACGAAGCCTATCCCACTTGTTCATCTGATGTTGCGACCTTAGAAGAGCAAAAATCTAAAACCCATAATTGGAAGGTCTGTAAATAAGTTGACATTCTTATCTACATTGTATAAATCATATGTTCCAAAATGTACAATATTCCATCACATATAGCGTAGGGAATTACCATCGCAGTAAAATTAGATCAACAAACCTCAAACAAGAAAAATAGATACTTCCCATAATCACATTTATTTAAGTAATATATGATGATAAAAGACAAAAACTTCTATCAAATTCAACTTCCAATTTCTACAGACTGTTGGCAACAAAATTAGTGCCAAGTAAAAGAAGCATCTATAAACTTGATTTTAAAAAGATGCAAACTTGAAAGTATAGATACTCAAAGCACATTTCGTGCTATACATATGAAGGCATATCTTATAATCAAACTCCACTTCTTCATAAGTATAACAGATAATCAGAAATTCGCATCACGGGAACTTATAGTATTTTTTTAATATCTCAAGCTACTGAGCTGGAGTAAAATGCCATTTGAACAAGTGGAGACTATACAAAACCAAAAAATTAGTTAAACACGGAGAAATTACCGCAATAGCAACCAGTTATAATAGCAAAATTAGCTGCGTAAGTTGCTGAAATATTTGAAAGGCCGTGAACTTTTCGATGCTTGGATATCAATCCTACTCCGGCACCCGCAACCCCTAATTTCAAACCAAAAAGAAACGGCAAATTAATCAGATTTTCCTAAAAAAATAACCAAAAAGTGAAAAAACCAGACCAAAAATCGTGGGTTTTCAATAAAAGTAAAAAAAAAAAAAAAAAAAAAACC